TGGGGGTGCATAAGGCTACAAGAATGGTTGGTTGAAATGGCTGCTGCACTTCCCATAAAAATACACTACTTGTAAAAGCACTGGTAAATCACTGCAAAAGATGAGTTTATTAAAAGTGAATAAGAATTACTGTGAAACACAGCAAGCACGTTTATCAGAAGGATCCCAATGGATGAAAATATATCAGAAAAGGGGAAGAGGGAAAAAGGGAAAGGGAAGGAATTACAAATCTACAACACAGACGGGGAAAAAAGTCGCTTGCTTGAAAAATGAAGTTCTTCTAAATTCATTTGCTTGCAGAAATACTGCACACATACCATTGTATGATACCACAATCTATGTGCAAATTCTCTATTTCCTGCCTGAGGAAAGGGTTGAACTACAAGACCTTCAAGGTCCCTTCCAACTCAGTTATTCTGTCTTGCAGGCTTTAGACCAATGTGTGTGCAACCCCAACTCATTACAGGTGCCATATTTCAATTAGCAGGCTATTTACCGAGATCATCGTTATGAAACCTCCCCTTCCACACACACCTTTCCTTAAAGAAACATATCATAATAATTTTAAATTACTGATTTTTTTTTTAAACAGAAAGAACGAATGACCCATCACAATTCTATTATTGTGCTCTCAAAAAAATAAAAAATCTCCATAATGCCACTTTAACTGCTCTTGACACAGGAGCAATAAACTTTGTTGGTGGGACTATTCACACACTCTTTATTTTTATAGTCCTTATCCTCAAAAGAGTTAGAAGTTACTTGCAACCGCTTGTACGGAGCTGAAGAGCCAGCCCAAGAAAGAAATCGAGAAAAAGGAAGAAAGAAAAGGGGGCAAAAAAAAGAAAGGAAGAAAAGAAAAGAAACAGGCAGGCGAAGCAAACACGTAATTCAGCAAATGATGTTTCCATGGAGAAAATGCTGAGACAGCACAAAAGGCCCGGATAAAGCAGTGCTTAACCCAGTGGTAGCCTAATTGTCACATGATTTCACAAACACTGACACTCCAGAAATGCTAGCAGAGAAAAGGCTCTTGGGCATCTGTTGCTAGGGATGACATCACCCTTCTGTATCTTTGGCCTTTCTCTATTTGGCTGATTAATCAGGACAGACCCATTCAGCAGCCTCTCTCAATGGCCAACAATAGAGACCCGGAGCTCAAACGAGACCAGGATGCAGGCCACTCTCTCTTGTGCTTTAAAGTGACTTGGACAGGAATGCCTCCTTGAAGGCAAACACGGTCTTAAATGGTGGTGGGAGGGAATCAATGGAAGAAATAGGGGGAGTAACTTAGTGCATTGCACTAAGCTCCAAGGTGATTCAAACTGGCCTGGACTCAATGGGGCTGTGAATCGGGCTTTGGAATTCATAAGGGCAGTGGTGGGATTCAAAATTGTTTACTACCGGTTCTATGGGCATGGCTTGGTGGGTGTGGTGTGGCTTGGCGGGCATGGCAGGGGAAGGATACTGCAAAATCCCCATTCCCTCCCCACCCCACTAACCTGCTTTTCACCTCCGTTCTCCTGTGCAGGGTAACAAAAGAAGACCCAGCCGATCAGCTGGGACTCGGGAGGCAGAGAATAGATGGGGGCGGGGCCAGTCAGAGGTGGTACTTGCCGGTTCTCCAAACTACTCAAAATTTTTGCTACTGGTTCATCACAACTGGTCAGAACCTGCTGAATACCACCTCTGCCAGGAAGGGACCTTGGAGGTCTTCTTGTCCAGCTCCCTGCTCAAAGCAGGAATCTTATACGCATCCCAGCCAAATGGTTGTAGAGTCTATTTTTGAAAACCTCCAGTGATGAAACACTCACATGTTCTGGAGCCAAACTGTTTCACTGATTAATTGTCCCCACTGTCAGAAAAATTCTCCTTACTTCTAGGTTGTATCTCTCTTTGACAAACTTCCATCCATTACTTCTTCTGCCCTCTGGTGTGCTAGAGAGTAAGTCAATCCTCTCTTCTCTGTGACAGGTCTTCAAGTACTGGAAGACAGTCATCATGTTCCCCCACCCATGCCTCATTCTTCTTTTTGATAGGCTAGGCATACCAAGATCCCTCAACAATTTCTCATATGATTTATTTGCTAGTTGGCAAACTATACTTTATGGCCTAAGGTGTGCTGCATTGAAACCAAGAATGGATTATTCAAGCCGTCACAGAGAAATAAACTATAGCTTGGTGAGATGCGTGAACCTGTGTCATTTTGGTGGTTACATGGAAATGAAGGTTTTTCATGCTTTTTTTTGGTGAAAAAAAGAACTAAACTAAGATACTACTGGAAAGTTGGTTATTCAGTGGCATGACCTCCTGGCTGTATGCTCCATACATCGACCTGCAAATTCTACTCATATAAACAATGATCTTCACCAGAAAATAAGAAATCAGCTAGAGAATTCAGAAGTTTGTAGAACACAACCTGTGAGGAAAAAGAAGTTTAAGAAAATAGTAAAAGGATATTTCAATATATGTATTGAAGGAAGGAAGGAAGGAAGGAAGGGAGGGAGGAAAATAAGGGAAAAAAAAACCCCTGTGCCTCTGCCTTCCAGCATCCATCAGTATTCATATGCCTAGCATCCTGTCACTGTGTGAGAAAGTTGAGGGCTGTTTGAAAACTGAAGCAGTATTTGCTGTGTGAGCAAGAAGGAGACAGCAAGGAGCCTGGGCGTGGCTTAGCTCAACTGTTCTGTACTAAAGCTGCTTGCTGCTATGAAACTAAACTGAAACTCCTCTCCTCTGCTTGTGTTTTCCATTTGGAACAGATTTCTTTTCAGGTAGGGAGGGGGAGTAGAACTCCTTAGCATCAGAGCGTGTTAATAATAATAATATAGGAGCTACTAATGCTCTGATGGTCATTTCGTAAAATCCTTTCTTAGTGAACACCTAGAAGCCAAGAGGAACATGCCAAATTTCAAGTTTGTAGGCTTTACAGTTCTGGAGATTTTGTGATGATGCGTGAGTGGTATTTAGCTTATATATATATATATATATATATAGATATATCTATGTATGTATATATGTATGTATATGTATAAAACAAAGGAAATGTTCTTCCTTTGCTTAAGAGACAGTGACTGATGCATGGTTAAATGGGGCTTAAATGTGTGTCTTCCCAATCCTCTTTGCTTGTTTTATCTGCTATATCCACCAGTTCAGGATTAGTTATCCCAATTCGTAACACTGTAGGTTTTCATAGTGACTTTTTTCAGCAGAGCGAATTAATCTATGCACACATATGTCCCTGTGTGAAAGAGCTCCATAAAACTGCTAGATTATGAGATCTATAAAACCAGCTTTACCTGAAAGACCAAACAGAAGTCAGATGCTGTGCCAGACATCAAATTCTAAGGAAAACTGTATACACGTAGAGTCTGAGAGAATGTGTAGCTTTTCCTTTAAAAAGGTAGGAAAGCTAAGCCATCTTTACAATCCCCAGTATCTTGATCTGCTAGCTGGGAAAAAAAAATAGCCGAGGCCATTTGGCACAATAAAAGCATTAAAAATTCAGACAGATGAAATGAAACATGACAAATTTCTCAGCAAATCCACAAACCTGTACAGACCAGAACACACTGGGGCCCTTTTGATTCATCTACTTTCTACTCCAGTTAAGGGTGAAAAGAAGAAGAATAGTCCACATTAATCTGGCAAGTAGACTTTTCAGTTCTGATTTAGTCCATGTGATTTTTAACCATGGCTGGCATATTTATGAAAAGACAGACGCACTAGTTTTAATTAGGCTTCGCAAGATACTTTCAGATCTAGAATGAAATAAAACCAAATCCCAAACTTAACTTCTATTTTCCAATATTTCTTAGTATCCTGCAAGATATTGTTAGTTTTATGTCACCGAAAACAATGCTGTTGTAATGTTGTTGTTAAGTCGCCAAGTTGTGTAACTCTTTGTGACCCCCATGGATTGTAGCACACCAGGTCCCGCTGTCTTCCAATTTCTCCCAAAGTTTGTCCAGATTCATGTTCATTGCGTCAACGACACTATCTAATCAACTCATCCTCTGTCATTCATTTCCTTTTGCCTTCAGTCTTTCCCAGAATTCATGATGTTAACCTAATTTGGGTAATGAAACATCTGCAAGAAAATAGCCCAGCTCAGAGAGCACCAAGGACCTCTCATTTCAACACTGAGCTACAAATACTCACTTCATTTATTGGTAGAACAGAAGTTATTTTTTTTAGAGAAGGAAACTCAACGAGCAGGAGAGAAGAAGATGGGAGAACTGGGACATAGGAAGGCTATGGATTATAGATTTATTGCCATCCGACCTGTGATGGGCCAACCAATTTAGAAGCCTAGAGAAATTTATGAGAAATTGGGTTGGAAACAGCTATAAATTTGGGTGGCTGGATATTACTCCTTAGTCAGAGACTGAACCTTAAGGAACAATTTATGGGAAACAACTGTGACTGCTCATCTTTCTTGAATTATCCAGGTTGGCTGCATGATATAGAATGCTGAACCAATGAACCTTGGACTTAGCCAGGTAAAAATATCCCCTTTTCTGGGATATTCTATGGAAATGTTTTCCAACAGTGGCAAGTTCTGGATCTGAAGACTTCAACTCCCAGAATTCCCAAGTCAGGATGATCATTGTTGAGAAATGGGCTTACGAAATACTTTTTCTCCTTGATCAGATTTTCTGATTTTTCCCCCTTCCTTTTTATGTGCCCCTCAACTGTAACTCAGCGTTTTGGAGACCTTGAGGAAAATCTAATCTTCACTGGGCTGTTAGTTTGATTTCAAAGACAGACCCATGTACAACACAAAGATCTTCTAACAAACCGACATATTTTTGGATATTAAGATAGCTGATATACCTTGAGCCAAGGTTAATAAGGGAAGTCCTTGACTTATGGCCACAACTGAGCCAAAATTTTCTGATGCTGATTGAGACACTGGTTGAATGAATTTTGTCCTATTTTACGCCCTTTCTTGCCACACTTAAGTAAATCACCGCAGCCGTTAAATTACTAACAAGGTTGTTGAGTGAATCTGGCTTCCTCATTGACTTTGCTTGTCAGAAGGCCATAAAAAGGTCACATGACCCTGGGACACTGCAACCATCATAAATATGAGCCAGTTGCCAAGTGCCTAAATTTTAATCATGTGACCATGGGAATGCTGCAACAGTCGTGAGAAAAATGGTCGTAAGCCACTTTTTTCAATGCTGGTGTAACTTTGAATGGTCACACAGCAAATGGTTGTAAGTCAAGGACTATGCGATGACCCGGAGCATGGCACAAAGGCAACAGTCAGATAAGCAACAAGAGTCCCTTTATTATCTCCAACTTTGCCCCCAATGTCCAAGTTACCTTTGGGCAGAAGAAAAACTCTCCCAGGAACAGCCTTTGACTACAGAAAATTCAGTCCAAAACAAGGTACACACAAACTGTAACTTAAAATCCAAACAAACCAAACTGAAGTAATTAGTTTGCCAGGGCAGGAGCAGGAATTTCAAACTTGAAAGCGCAGCAAAACTCACACAATTGGGAAGATACCAAGTCATGACGATTCAAGATAAAGTCACATTTGCTCCCAACAGCTTGCTGCACACAGCTTGCCTTTTTTATACATTGTGTTCCTAGCTACAGCTAATGAAAGGAATCAGGGCCCTTTCCTCCCCAGTAAGCCACGCAACCCACATTGCTCTCTTCTCCGTTCCTCCCTGCGTGCCCTAGGATGAAGAGGGAGTGGGCCTGGGTCTTCCTCTGAATTCCCTCTGCCTTGTTCTACCTCTCCCCTGCTCTGCCCAGCCAGACTTTGCCCTTCCCCAGTTTCTTCCACAGCCAACGGAGCCACACTCCCATTCCCTGTCAGTTGTTCGGCTTTCTCTTCCAAGTCAGATCCCGACAGGGGCATGACAGACTACTTGTAAAAGCTTGTTTAAAAGAAAGTTCCACTGACTACTATTGGAAAGATTTCGAAGAATTGTTCTTGGGTTAATCATTTTGCTTAATTAATCAAACATTTTGAATTTGGATAAATGAGCAAAATAGGGCTTATGCTGCAAGACAGCCTATATCTCTGGATATTTTGGATTAATCCCTCTGGCAGTCTTAATAACAACCACACTGTAGAGCAGGGGTATTAAACTCAAGGTCCGCAGGGTGCTTAAATCTGGCCTGTGAGGCCACCCTAGAAACAATGAAGGACCGATCCGTGGTGTCTCTGGCAGTGAAAATGAAGTTTGGGAGGGCTGTGTCCGGCGACCTCAATTTTCACTGGCAGGGGGTTGCAGGAGGCCACCGTGGCCGAAAACGGAGTCCAGGCGGGCTGTAGTGGCTGAAAATAGAGCCTCGAAGAATGACATCAAGCTTGCCACACCCACACTGGCCACACCCATCCCAGAAACACTCCTGCCCTCCCCGAGGTCAAACATAAACCTGATGTGGCCCTCAATTACATTGAGTTTGACACCTCTGCTACAGTCTACAGGAAATCAGATATAAAGTCATAAGTTAAGCACTAAGTGAATAGTTTAAAAAACAAATGAGTCTGGAACCTCAGATTAAAGGTTATTCTTTTTAATTTTGTAATAAAAAGGTATTAGGAATTACTTCACCTTCTCCCTGAATTTATCAACATACTCAAACTCAACTGTGATCACCCTCATTAAGATTCAACAGAAGATTGCCCAACCCAGGAAAATTAGAAAATATCTGTTTCACCTCTGATTAAAAAAACACATTGGCTCTTGACACATAGCGAGAAAAAAATGTGCATATATGTATGTTTAAAAGTACCAAAGACCTCTCAACCCCATGACAGGGCAGGTTATTCCTTTACCGAAGCCCCAAGTATTGGCGCATCAAATGTCAACATCAAAACAATATAGAAAAAAAATAATTACAGACAGGGTTAGTGTTGTAAGCTGATAAGAACCAGATGGTCTTTTGTATTTATAGTTTGCTTTGTGCATACAAATGTGTTGGGGATCTAATTAGCCTTCTCCAAAACTCAAACTGGGTAATTACTATCATTATCTCCTTTTCAAATAAATCTAAAGTCTAAACTGCAATTAAGTTTTAAAAAAATATTTTATTTTACAATTTAACGATTCTTCACCGGAATCTTTTTCCAAGGGAAAAATTGGATGGGAACAGAAGTTCAGCTTCATTTTAGAAAGAAGATGGGGAAGATGATGAGGACAATAACTCAGCGAAAAGGAAATAGCATGTCATGTTTTAAAATGAATTCCATGCAAGCACTGAGCCTTTGCAAGATTATTACCCCTTGTTTCTAAAATAATGTCTAAAACGGTGTCAAATTTCACCTTGCAGTTCCCTAACAAAACAGATTTAAAAACAATCCATATTGAAGTAGATGCTATGACCTATGGCACCAAAACCCTAGCTGCTATAGAAAACCCCAGCTACAGATTTATCAGAGAAGCCATAGAGATTGAAAAAAGACCTGAAAGCATGAATAGAAGAGATGACTCTACCAGACTGTCAATTATCTGGAAGCCTGCACTCACAAACAAAAAAAGCTCCACACCACAAGTCAGGCAAACACCTGGGCACAAACAGACTCCTCGCCCCCGATACCTCCAGCTCAAACACACCCCAACCAGGTGCCCAGATGAAATCTAGCTTCCTAATAAATGACAACCGTCCGTTTACCCGAAGCCAAGCCGCACTAAAAGCCTCCAATATAGGAAACACAATGTTGCCGGCCAATCAAGACAAAAAAAGCTACAAAACAGTCAGAAGATATTAGAAACAATAATCAAGCAGAACACAGCAAACTCCAAGACCAATAAACACAGACCAAGACTCCCAACCAATCAGGATGAAGAAAAAAAACATTCTGGCACAGCGTAGGCTAGCACCAAATTTAAAACAGAAACGGCTGTGAAAGTCTGACTCACAGACGAACACTATACAGAAGCCTGATGATGGCAGATGAGATTCTGCCGAAATGTTGCTACAACTTTAAAAGCACAACTATAATGACGTGGGAAAATACCTGAACAAAGCTGAATACCATACATATAAATACTCGCGAAAACTTAAGAATCTATCTATCTATCTATCTATCATCTACCTACCTACCTACCTACCTACCTACCTACCTATCTATCTAGAGATAGAGAATATTAGTTCTTCCTTGTTGTACTATTCATTTACATACATACATACATACATACATACATACATACATACATACATACAAATAAGCAACAAGCAAGAACTAATATACAATTTTCTGACTCTGTTAAAAAAGCTGTTCTATGCAATTTTCTTAACCTGCTGCTGTCTCAGCTGTGCTGAGACTGCAGTTTACAGAATTTCCACCCAGAGGAATCTTTGGAAAACGCTTGTTAGAAATTCTAGATGTTAACATTTCAAAAAACATTCAGAGGGTGTGAAAAGACAATGTAAGAGGACTATAGATAATCCTCGAGTTACGACCACAATTATGCCCTTGTTCAATGAGACATTTGTTTTGACTTATTTTATGGCCTTCCTTGCCACAGTTGTTAAGTGAATCACTGCCGTTCGATAGGTTAGTAACCAGGTCGTTAAGTGAACCAGGCTTCCCCGTTGACTTTGCTTGTCAGAAGATTGCACATGGGGAACACATGGCCTTGAGACACAGCAATGGTCATAAGTATGAACCAGTTGCCAAGCATCTGAGTTTGGATCACATGGGGCTGCTTCAAAAGGTGTAAGCGGTCATAAGTCACTTTTTTTCAGTGCCGTTGTAACTTTGAATGGTCACTAAATGAACCATTGTAAAAGTCGAAGACTACCCGTACATGGAGGAAAGAAAGGTACAAGCAAAGACAATTAGCAGTCAAAGCAGATTATTTAGTTCTGCACCTTGAAGTAATGAACACCATTCTGAAAGAAAAACTGCATTTTATCAAAAGTTGCTGGAAAGTTCTTGCTGTGACATGCTTGAGTACAGAATTCTCTTAGTTTCGTGGAGCATGAGACTACCCATCCCAAAATCCCCAGAAACTAAAACTGAATTGTGGACCAATAGACGAGAATATTGTTAGCTCAAGGTTGAACTTTGGAAGTCTTGATGCCTTTTGAGCTTGGCTGTTTTTCATTAGTGAACTAGGTAACATTTTCACTGAAGATGTTGGCTAATGAAACATCTGCAAGAAAACTAAGAGCCTTAGTGAATTAAGGACTTCAGAAAATGGTTTGTCTTCTACTGGAAGCATTGGTTAAGTGAAGAATCTGAACTTCAAATATAACAATAGCGCTTGGGATTCACAGCCGTTCATTAATCCTTAGGATATGGAGCGGAAATCAGGGGAGTTCAAATTTTAAAACTAAAAATAAAATTATCAATTAATACCCTATTTACCTGAAAATAAGACCTATCCTGAAAATAAGCCCTAGCATAAGCTCTCTTCCCCCCCCCCCCACAAAGTAAACCCTACTTAAGAGCCTGCACAGCCGGCCACTCACTCATTTTGTCTGGTTGTTCACAGTGCCACAGTAGCTATGAAATATATCTGGGGATTTTAACCCAAACCCAGATCTCATGTGTCTTGTCTCATGCTTCAGAGTTGCTTGAACTGTAAAAAGAGTCATAAAATAAATGTGATAAATGTTATCTTAGCTGAGAAAGTGTAATGTTTTGGCAATTTGGAAACCCAGCTGATAAGTCTCATCCATTTTTGCAGTCCACTGAAGTAGACCAGAAAGGGGGGGAGGGAAATACTAAAAAATGATTGGCTACAAAAGTGCTATCAACTATAGTGTTTATTTCTTGGACCATGTTTTGAGTTATCTACAGGATGGGCCTATTGGCGAGAGATGATTTGCATCCCCAGAATTATTTTTAAAAAATGTATTGGCAAACATGATTGTGATGGCTTTAAACTGAATTGTTGACATGGTCCTTGTTACGGCCTAATATCAAATTTAAACACTAAAAAGGCAAAATTTCTCCAATGCTATTTCAGATAGCTGCTCTCCTGCAAGGAAGTATGCATTATAATCAGGCAAAAGTGAGAAACTTCTGATTAA